AAGAAAGGAAGAAAGGAAGAAAGGAAGAAAGGAAGAAAGGAAGAAAGGAAGAAAGAAAGAAAGAAAGAAAGAAAGAAAGAAAGAAAGAAAGAAAGAAAGAAAGAAAGAAAGAAAGAAAGAAAGAGAAAAAATGAAAAAAAGAAATTTTAAAAAAAGCACCCTGCACCTAACTGAGCCCTTCCCCTCACGGCTCGCTCCCCGCTCGCTGCAGCACCCTTCTCACCAAAACCGACCCCAATGGATGCATTCCCGGTTCCCCACGCTCCCTTTCCCCAACACTTGCGAGGACAGAGCGCTGCCCGCCCGCCCTCAGCCCAGCCCCGAGCTCTCCCCGCAGGCTCTCCAGTCCCGGCCTCTCCCATCAGCCCCGTCCGGCCCCGGGGCAGCTCGTGGAGCTCATTTCGGGCTGCGGTTTTGACTTCCCGCACAAAAAAAACTCTCCGTCTTTTCAGTGACACCGCGCGCTGTCCGCCTTCGAACCGGGAGATATTCGTTCGTTTTATTTCTTTCCGCAACGACGAGGAAGGAGCGGGATCCGGAGGGCGCAGCCCGAGCCGGGAGCCACGGGAAGCCGCTTTCATTTCATTCCTCCGGAGCCGTCCGGGAGCGGCACCGCGCTCCGCTGCCCCGTCGCCGTGGGCCGCGCGCGTTCCGCAGGGACTCTTCTCCCGAAAACCCCGAAGCGCGATGAAATCCACCGTCACTCGGAAGGGGAAATCCGCACGTCTCACGCGGGCGGCTCGGGGGGGAATCCCAGCTCCCGCCCTGCCCGGCCCGAGCCCGCTCGGCCTCGCCCCGCTGTCGGCGGGAGGGCAGCGCCTCGAGGCCGGGGGAGGACCGAAGCCTCCGCCTGCCCGGGGCACGTCGGCCTGCGGCCCCGCGACCGCGGAGCGCCAGGTCCCTCGGGGCCGGGCCGGGTCTGGCCGGTGCGCTGCGGGGAACGGAGGCCGGCACCGCTCGGGAACGCGTTCCCTCGCCCCGACCGCGGAGGAAGGCCGTCCTCTCGTGTTTGCAGTTTTCTTTGTTTACATTCACTCTAGAAAACATTGGCCCGTGGCCAGCAAAGTGCGCTCGCGTTTCTCGGTGGAAAGCCGAGAGCGATCCGGCCCTGGCGGCTCCGCGCTGCCCGTCCTCCCCTCATCCCGCCGGGCCCGGGAGCAGCGCGTTGCCGGCCGGCTGCACCTGCGAAGGGCGCGGGCCGCTCCTCGCAGCTCGGTCTCCCCGGCCCCGGCCTCCCCGAGGCCGCAACAGGTTTCTCTGCGCGCACCGCCTCCCGCTGCGGGCTGCGGGGCGGCGCCGAGCCGTGCCGTGCCGCACCGCACCGAGCGGAGCCGCGCCGTGCCGCCCGCCCCGGCACACGGAGCCGCGGGGCGCGGCCCGGAGGGGGGGGCCGGCGGGTGCCCGAGGTCGCGCGTGTGCGCCGGGCCGTTCGCCGTGTCGTCCCCCCCCCCGTCCCCGTCCCCGCGGCCCGTCCCCCGGCGAGGAGCGAGTGCCGCCGCTCCGCCTTCTCCTTTTCGCAATGTTGACGCAATCTATAAATAGTGGAACAAAAGGAGCAACTTCCTCGCAGCTTTGCTGAAACTGCACAAAAAAGGCAACCGGGGGGGTGGGGGGCGTTATTTTGATTTGATTTTTTTTTGCCACCGCTTTCAAAAGCGAAGCCTCCTTCCCCCTCCCCCGCAGCTCTCTCGCTACTGGAAGATTACAGATCCGTGCGCGATTATTTTTTGATTCCTCGTTGTCTGCTGCGCTGGCACCGTCCTGCGAGCGGCGGAGCGGCTCGGCGCCGGGCTTCCCCCGCTGACAGTAAGTGCCGGGCGGGGAGGGCAGGGGGGAGGCGGGAGGCGCTCCCCGCCCGCCGCACCGCACCGCACCGCGGGTCGAACCCCTCTCCCCACGCGCGGCTCCGAGCCCCCACGCGCAGCTCCCGCGCCTCGGGGGTGCTTTTATCGGCGCGGTGGGGGTGTTCACGAGTCTTCCCCTTTCTCTTCCTCCTCCTGCCGCGCTCAGTGGGAGGGTGGGGGGATGCTGGTCACGATCACGCGTGTCCCAAACACCCCCCCGCCCCCCCAACCCCCCGCGGAGGGAGAATTACATCATCCTTTCTGTAGTGATGCTACCTTAGCGTGCGCGCACCCGACACCTCGGGAGCGCGCGTCCTCCCGCCTCGGAGGCGCGCGTTTCCCCCCACCCCGGCTCGGGCTCGGAGAAAGGCGCGCCCCCGCGCTCACACACACCCGCGCCGCCGAGTGTTTACAGTGCTGCCCCAGCCGTATTGTGACGTCTCCTGAGCGACAGTGCGCCTGGCCAATGGGACGCCGAGGCCCCGCCCACTCTCTCTCTCTCCCTCCTCCCTCTCTCTCTCTCTCTCTCTCTCTCTCTCTCTCTCTCTCTCTATCTCCCCCCCTCCCTCCCCCGCTCTGTGCGCGGCTGTCACGCTCCGCGCGCGCCGGCGCGCGCCCGCGATTGGCGCGCCCCACGCTGGTGCTCCTAAGCTCGGGGTGCGGGAAAACAGCAAAAATGCTTTGTTGTTGGTGGTGGTTTTTTTTTTTTTTTTTTTTTTCCTTGTTTCTTTTTTTTCCTTTCTTCTTTTTTCCTTTCTTCTTTTTTCTTCTTTCTTTTTCTTTTAACCCCGTGCAAAGATAACAGCGCCTACTTACACGCTGCAAAGCCCGTAGCAAAGATCAAAAAAAGTGTTTTTTCACACTTTTGAAACTTGTTGCGAGTTTAAGGCAGCAGTGCAAAATTCTCCCCCGAGCGGGCACCGGCTTAATGCGGGATTTAGGCAACCGCCCGGCCCTGCTCGGCAGCGCACGGAGTTTTTAATGTGTTAATGGCTCGGGGTGGCTTCAAAGAGCGTTGCTGTTTTGAAGTCCAGGTGTTTCTATTTGCGCAGAAAATCGAGCGGGGAGCTCTGAGCTCCTACTGTTACTAAAGTTAAAAGGAAACAAAGTTGAGCTGCTAAGTCGGCAGTCTGGAATGAGTCAATAGTGTCTCCTTTGTCCTGCTAGGTTGTAGCTCCGCTCCGTTTCCTCCGCACTAGCGAGCGAGAGTTTCGCCCCTCGGCTGAATTCTCGGTACATTCTGTACGCATCTCCCCCTCGCTAAGCGTCCCGGCAGCGAGGCTCAGAGGGGTCGAAGCCTCTCCGTGCTGCGGCTGCGGCTCCGGGCAGCGGGACGGCGCCGTGCAGGGCCGTGGGCTGAGCCAGCCGCCGTGCCGCAGCGCTCCGGGCGCGGTCAGCAACGGGCCCTCGCGGGTTGGCACAGACGTCGCCCGCTCGCTTCTCCTTTCCCCGCGTCTGTTTTGCTTTTCGATCGCCTCAATTGCGTACGCGGCTACGTTACGGCCGTCCCTTCTCACGCTTGAAAAAGGCTGTCCCTGCGGCCGTGCCCAATACTTCAATTCTTGAAATATATTTTAGCTCTTCGCTCCCGGCTCTTTCCAGAAACGCCGCCTCGCAGGTCCTGCTAGTCACACGCGGTTTTCCCCGGTGGCCGTGAAGGCCTCGGCCGCGAGTTCCTAAAGCTTTCGTTTCGAGTTCGCAACGCTTCCCTTCCGCCTCACCGCTAAGGCCGGCCCCGGGTCGGGAACGCGGCTGCGGGCAGCGCTGCCCCCCCCCGGCCCCGCGGCAGCCCCCGCGTCCTGCTCTGCGCCGGCGAGCAGCGCCGTGCGGAATTAACGAGGCTGCGAGTCAGGCTGCCGCTTTTGGGGAGCCCGCAGCCGCCCCGTCTGCGCTCCGAGGTGTCCCCTCCGGACGGCCGAAATATTTAACGGCGGAAAAACGCGGCGCTTGTTGGTGATGGGGAAGGTGAGGGCAGGAAAAAAAAGTTTTAAAAGATGGAGCCTGAGGCACAGAAGGAGCGGCACGGATCCAGCTGTCCTTTTATAGTAAGTGGTGTTTTACAGAAAGTGGGAAAGGAGAGAGAAGTGCCTCCCTTCCCGCAGCAGGACAGGGATGGTGCAGCCCTTCTCATCGCATTCCTGGAGGAATCTGCACGCAGCTCTCGGTTCTTCTCATTTCTGGAAACGAGAAGTGTCGTTCTCAGCAGTTCCTCTCTTGAGCCCTACTGCCGGGTCTTGCCTGACCCTCCGCTGGTACTGACGGATCTCTATAGAACAGTTTTCGAGCTTGGCATTCGTGCTTCATAAAAAGTCGTAAGAGATAGCTTTGATGAGTAATTTCTCGAAGTGCAGTTAACATTCTAAATACTATGTATGCGTAAATGTTGTTAGTTAACTGGGGCGTTGCTTTAGAACGTGTACAAAGGAGACACCCAGCACAGACCGAAAGCAAACTCTCAGCCCAGGTCAGAGCCACAAATATATCACATATAAAGGATGGGAGCAGGGTAGGAAACCTGCAGTAGTTCATCAGGTGAGAAACAGGCACTCCAGACTGCACGAAGAATTAAAAAAGAGGTGTGCAGAAAAGCAGGCAGCATTAGCTGGCAGAAGAGGATATGAAAACAGCTGTACTTTTTCAGGGCTCTTCATATCCTTGTTTCTGGCTGAATGTGCTACGTGCATGAACATCCTTTCTTATAAAAGAATAAATTTCACAAAGATCCCACTGTATGGCAGTGTACTGATTGGCTGTCACAGCCCCTGGCTAAATATTAATGTTGGTCGCTTTTCCAAGTCAAATCTATGAGCTACTCTATCTGGAGAACTTGAAATCTCTACCCACAAGTGAAACTCCAGTACGGTGCTTTTCTGACTTGCACGTTGTCTGTCCGTGTTTATAAAGATTTCCTTAGTAAATTACTTTTCGTTTGACAGCATTTTTTCTTCATGTGTTGCTTAGGGAAATATCAGGCAGTCTCTTTTGATCTGAGGCTTGGTTTGTTGAAGTTTTACAATGCTAAGCAGCGTGACAGACACACAGGACTAACCAGAAGGAGCTCCCCATCGGTGCAACCCCTTTGGTTTCATAACCCCTTGCAAGCTTAGAGCCATGATTTACATAGCAGTGAGGGAAAATGAAAATGAGGAGGAAGCCCATTGTGCCATGTACGTGTATTTTCTCCTAACGCAGACTAGATTAAACCTGGCCTGTGCCACAAGAACAGTGAAAGGTGAGAGCAAAGGCGAGCAAAGGATCCTCCCTCGTAATGACACACACAGTTAATGTTCTCTTCACCCAAGATAGTAAACCAGACCCAAAACGGGAAGGAGGATCTGGGCTATTCTTTCACCTCCCTCCCCACCCCCAGGCTCTGAGCCGTGGAGGAAGGATCGTGTTGCACTATTTTAAAGCTGGAGCAGCATGTGCACCTCCTTGGTACAGTGAGAGCACTGGGAGCAAAGCTCTCAGGGCTCCCTGCTCCCAGGGCTGGGTCTTATCCACAGAGCCATGCTCCAGTTCCCCTCCAAGTTCCCTTGCAAACGTACAATATTTGCAGGGATGTATACAAATAAGAAAGTTATTAAACTGACTTACCTTTGGCACGTGGCTTTGAAAGCTTCCTGCTCGAGGCAAGTCACAAAAGTCATGCTGTCACAGTAGCTCAGCACTGCAGGTAAAGTTGACCTGTAAATGAATGAAATAAAGAAATTGAGTGCCTTTGCCTAATTTCCTAAGCTTAAATAAACTGGATCGATTAGCACATTGAAAAATATCATTGCTACGTCTTTCTCCCCACCACCTGAGTGCAGATGATTTGAAGTTATACCATACAGCTGATGTTAAATCTGTGCTAAGGTAGGAGATGGATCATGGTTTCGAATGGAAGTTCAGGTTAGGGCCATAATTCTGTCCCTGCCTCCCAACTTTTAAGATCAGGACAATTAAAGCTGTTCTACTCCTCACTGGATCAAAGAGACAAAATATGCATACAGGATGCTCCATGGCCATGTGGAACTGCAGAAAGGAACTGCAGAAAGAAGCCATGAGCCTTCCCCTGGGAAGTTGGAACAGGGAAAGTTGTGGGGAGCAGTAGGAGATCCAGCACAAAGGACTGAATAGATTCTAGTGCCTAACTTAGTGGTTGATAGCCCTGCCCATGGAACTGGATGCTCTTTGAGGTCCCTTCCAAACCAAGCCAGTCTATGACTTTGATTCCACGATTCCAGGCTGTATAAAAGCATGCAGAGATGATAGAAGCTGTATAATCATGGGGTGACAAGATATGAACAGTTTAACCTTGCCTTAGCTTCTTCTACCTGGACTCTGTGAGTTTTAAAAGGAGCAAGATCTCGTTCAAGGCTTAAAAATACATTGAGCTCTACAGATAAAAAGCCATATGTCAAATTCAGCTATTCTTAATGTGGTGGGTAAAAAATACACAATTTTAACATACAGACTGGCAGACATTTCATTTGAAAGCAGGAATTAAAATAATGACAGGTTGTGTCACGTGAGAACACATTTAACAGCAAAACTGTCCTTTTCTGGTGCATGAAAGCCAACTATATGGAGGGAGAGGCTGCTGGAAATAAGCAGGGGGCACAAAAATGGAGGGAAAGATGGGGAGTTTAATGGAAGATGCCGAGTTGATAACCGGAGTCTTCAGCAAGGCTGTTACCCTCTTTACTTTCTAATGCTGTGCAAATGAATTCTCTTGCAAATCAAAGGTTCTGCCTCTCTGTGCCCCTGAGGTCATTCATGACCATGTCCTGACCCTGGCAGTCTGCAGTTGTCCTCAGCACAGGCACACACCTCCCCAGCCACTGCAGCCCACGTCTGCTGTACATTGCATGCTGCTTCCCCCTTCCTTGTGTTTGTTTTACAAATCTATTTTTTAAAATCCTATTACCTTTTACGTATTTCTGCATCTTTCCTTGCACTGAGAAGCTCCTTGATACTTAAGCAAATGTTAAGATATAAGCAAAAATATAGGAAGATCAGATTATTTCAGGCCACTTCGCAGCAAAAGGAATACTTTCTTTTATGGAAAGCAAAATCTTCAGCTGAAAGAGGCTGGTGTTTACATTGTCACTAAAACTTCTGCTGAATGGGGAAGAAACAGTAACAGCAGACAGCGCTTCAAAAGGAAGTTCTGTTACAGCACAGAGGAAAAAAAAAATTAAGTTCTTCCAGTGTATAAAATATGTACTCAATGCTGAGCTTCTACATTTGCCTTCAATACTGAGCTATGAGCGTGGAGCGCCCCACTGCAAGTTGTTAATGTACCCACCAGCCCCACTGCTCAAACCTATGCGAGGAAAGAATTAATACAAAGGCATTCATCGAGCACAAAACTGAGATATTCTTTCACTGCAACTTCTCCAGCTCTAACAAAGGCACCATTCAAAAAATAAAAAATAAAAAAGCATTTCAAAGAGCAGTGTAGATGCTGGGCATGGATCGGCTCCTCACTTAAAGACAGAGGCCGCTAGCCCAAAGGAATAACTCAGACAACACTGACGCTCCAAGTTTCAGACTTTCAAGCCGGAGGCCTCCAGTTGGAACTTATCTCTGTTTTCACACATCAGTAGGTTCGGCAGAGTTAGAAATACCCAGCACATACAAGGAAAACAATCTCTATCAGTGGATACAGCATGAACACGATAACGTGATGTTTTGCAAGCCTCGAGCAATTGTCAAGCCGCTGCGTTTTGTCAAGGCAGCACACTTGACTGTCAGGGCCATCTAACCTCAGGTCACCTTCTACCTTGCCCCCTGGCCAGGTCCCAGCACCTCCATTTACTCTCTGTAAGCGGCTGCAGCACCCTGGAGGCAGGGCCAGAGGCAATGGATGCTGCTGCCCCAACACGAGCAGCAGCTGCCTGGGTGCATCGCTTTGTGTCTCTGAGTTAAATGATCCTTTTTTACCACCTGTCCGAACAGAAAAGAGAAGGACCCTACTTTATTCTGTCAATTTTGGGATAGTTTTGTATTTGCGTTATTTTATTTCAGTGTTCAAAGCCCTTATCCAATTAAACACAGCCACTCACAAAACACGTTTCTTTTTGTCATCCGGATTTGTTATTCCCTCGCTATACAATTTTTACTTAAACTCCTATAAAGCAAACCTCTGATTCTTAATTTTCACATTTTGTAATAGAAAATGGGGGATGATATGATGGTGTGATAGAAATGGGGGTATGACGGTGTGATAGAAAAGGGGGTTTTCTTTACTACGTGATTAAGCCTTCCAATTTCAATTTGTAAACTCCGTGTAGATGGAAGCAGAATGCAATTAAAATGTAGCAAAAGAGCACCACATTTTTTATCAGTTTAATTAAATAACCATAGATGTACGTAATGTGTAAGAAAAAGAATACCCTGATCAGAACACAGTGCACTGCAAGCTGATTTATTCAGCAAGGACTAATCACTGCTAGCTGGTGAGCTGCAGTGATTGTTTCTGGTCAGCACGACCTTCAAGACTTTAATGCTGGTACATCTCATCCTCTCACAGTCTTCACTCATGGGCTCGATGAGAAAGAAAATTAGGAGATTGCCTGCTTTTTCATCTCTCAGTGCAGCCTTCTACTTTGAATGTAAAGTAAATGAGTACATTAAAAGAAGAAAAAGCTATTGGAAGCAGCTTCAGCATTCTGTGGGTTACAGTTCCAAGCGCTCTGGCAGTGACTCCCCACCCCTTCAGTGGTTTGACTTGCTCCAAAAATCTGGCGTCAAAAAATGTGTCGTGTAGCACTTTTATTGTGTTATTTAAAATACCTACAGTAAATGTAACCCTAGAACAGGCTGCCCTACTTCCATACTTAATTTTAAGTGGTCTTGTTAAAAAAAGAAACATTTAATTTAAATAAAATAAAGTATACATATATAACTCATTAAACTCATGTTAATCATTCCAGTAGGCCACAGAAGCAATAGAAAATGTGGATTCCCTCCTTTCTGATTCATCAGCCACTTATGCTACGGAGCGTTCAGAACAGAACGGGTTCCTACTGTGCCTGCTGGTGTACGCATGAAGTTAAAGAGACAGAGCCCTGGCAGAGAGGTTTGCCTTAATTTGCTCAACACCTGAGGTGTTAAAAGTAAAGCCAAACAGGAGAAGCTTTTTGCTTTTTTTTTTTTTTTTCAGTAAAGCACTGGCTGTTCAAGTGCAGGTTTACCAGTGCCAGGAGGCAGAGCATGGGGGGATGCCACAAAGGGCCCCAGATCCTCCATCCCCTCTTGCTCCCCTTACCCTTGAGTTCCAGCTGCACTCACCCAGGCCTATGGACTGGCAGTTGGAGAGAGCTGAAACGAACCAGGGAACTGAATGTAAGCAACAATGGCATTAAGCTCTGCTAAAGATAGAGGCTTCCCATTGAATTTCCTTCCTGCGTGACGCTGGAGCATAAACCTAGCACCAGGACCACTTCTCAAGTGGAAAGGAAGAAAATTATTACTGACAAGGTCCAAAGACTGGGATACTGGCCTGCCCAGTTTTGAACTGTGCCTTACAGATCGGCATTACAGATCTGTGGATTCAACTGATTTGCTTAATATGGATCAGAATGTAATTCCTGCTCCCAGATTACTGTGTTGGAAACCAAGCTATCCCACAAATTTTCTAGCTTTTGGGGGGTTTTGTTTGTTTGTTTGTTTGTTTTTGGTTTGTTTGTTTGTTTTTGTGGACTGAAAGATTTCCTTTCTTGTAGTAATCTGAAAGCAAGTGTAAGGAAGAAGAAAAATCACTGGTCAAAATTACAGTGGTAACAGCAAGTTTCTAAAGAGATCAATTTTGGTTTAGGTAAAGCCAAGATTAAGCAAAAAAGGAGAGAAGGTAGAGGCGTTTCACTAACACATTACAAAATTGTTGACTCGGGTTGGCTCTCGTTGGTTGAATTTTAGAATGGTCTTGAAAGTATTGTTTCATTGCTGTAAGATTGGGCTAGGAGAGGCTCATAAATCAACTGTATCTTAGAATGGAAGAGAGGTTGGGTTGTCCATTAACCCACCTCTGACAGGAGGCATAAGCCAGTTCCTAGCCAAGTGAGCAGCAGGACCAGGACCAGCACACTTGACATTGCCCATGGTGCCAGTACCCAGTTTTTAGCTCGGGTGTATCCCTGGCTGGATGCGATCTGTCTGCTCAGTGACCTTCATTAGATCCTTCTCCACGTTCTTCTGCAGCCCCTCCTTGAATCCACGTGAGCTATTTGTACTATCTGTACTATCTGTACTATCTTAAGGCAAAGAATGTCACAAGTACATTACCCTCGTGCATATAAAATAATGCAATTTTTTATACTATTTGCTCTGAACTTGCCTACTGCCAGCTTCATCTGATGCACCCTCATTACTGTATTGGTAGTGAAGGCAGAAAGTTGATCCCTGTCCATCCTTTTCATGTGCCATTTTAAAATATTTATTGCTATTTTGAAGAAGCATCGGAGGGGCAATTAAAGACTGAAGTAGAAGCTGTAGTCTCTGTGCTGGAAACCTTTTTCTTCTTAGCTCTCGGCCACCGCTCAGCCCACTCTCTGTGGCAGATGCTGGAGCTGCTCTTGTACAGAAGGCCTTCCAAGATCCCAGGGAACTGGAAGCTCCACCGAGCACACTTGGGGAGAGCCACTCTTTCCCACTGTTAGGGATGATGCATTGGAGGAAAAGATGCAGTCATGCATATT